GCTCCCTCTGGTACGCGCCCTCCTGCTCCGCCATGCCTTGGTCGCGCTCACTCGTGACTGGGTCTTCCATGAGGTCGTCCGTCATGTCGAGTAGCAGGTCCTCGTCCTCTTGTCCTCCTGCTCCCCAGGCGTCCCGTAGTGCGTTCTGGAGTCCTGCCGTTTGCAAATCATGTGCGCGTTGGAGGTCTTGTAGTTGCTGCTGCCTCTGTGCGTCGCTCATGTGCTGGTTGTGGGCGTAGTGCTGCGCTACGGCCTGCATCTCCTGCTGGTGCTGGTGCTGCAGAGTGCTGTGGTACTGCTGAGCCACGTGGTTCTCCATCTCCTGCTGGTGCTGTAGTGCCTGGAGCTCGCTTGTGGCCGCTGCTTGTCGCTGCAGTGCCACCTCCTCCATCCTTTGGGCTTTGTCCGCCGCCTCCTGGTGCTCCCCGGCGCGCTCCAGGTACTTTTCCTGCTCGTGTTGCATATCGTATGCCTTCGCCTGGATGGCTGCGTGCTCCAGGTTCAGGACGACCCGCATCGCTTCGCGCCTGTTGGCTTCTTCCTGGTGCTCGTAGGCCATCTGCTGGTAGTTCACTGCGATCCGCAGCTCCTCATCCTTGTAAGCGCTGCGACGGGCGCATCGCTCCTGGTATTCCGCCTCCGCCATCTCCTGCGTCGCCTTTTCATTGTGCTCCTGCGCCATCTTGTACCACTGGGCCTCCTGAGCCGCCATCCGTCTCACAGCCTGCTCTTCCTGCCTGGCCTTCTGGACCTGCTGCGTGTAGATGGCTGCCCTTCTCTGGTCCTCCTTGTGCATCTCCTCGCGTAGTGTCTTCTTTTCCAACTCAAGATGCATGTGCAAATCCACGAGCATCCCTTTGGCCCTTTCCTCCTGTGTCCTCTGGCTGCCTCTTTGTGCCTCGTATGCTTTCGCTTCCTCCTCCTCCAACTTGGCGTTGTGGTGCCGCTTGAGCGCGTTGACCTCCCATGTGTGCCACTCCTCCTGCTTGGCCAGCTGCGCTTCGGTCGTGTGGTACATCTTTGCGCAATGGTCTGCTCGTAGGCCTTCAGCTCGCTTTTGTGCTTGAGTTCTGCCTGTGCCAGCAGGTCACTTTGCTGCTGTTCCTTTTTTTGCTGCGAGTCGAGCCTCTCGGTCAGTCTCCTGATGGCGTCTTTGATCTCGTCTGGTGCTGCTGGGGCTGATCGTGCAGTTGTTGCTGGTCCCGAGGAGGCGCTCGCTGCTGTGGCTGGCTGCGCTGTGGCTGGTGCCGCCATAGCTGCGGTTGGATCGCGCCTCCCCCTCGCGGCTGGGTGTGGCGTGCGTCCTCTGGTGGGGTCCTGGCTTCCCTCTTCCTCTGACGATTCCTCCTTCACGCCCGCTGACTTTGCCATTTGATCTCTGGTTTCCCTCATCAGGGTCTTGTAGACCCTGATGGTTCTGGCGGCCGCCGCCTCCTGGTCGAGCATCTTGCTGAGCCGCTTCTCCATCTCGGCATGCTCCTCCTCCAGCTTTTCCAGCGTGGCCCTGAGCTGCTTCATGCGCTCTTTGTGGGGCAGGACGAAGGAGATGTTCGCGGCGGTGATCGCCGCTTCCTGCTCGAGGCTGGATGTGCATAAACCCGCCAACCTAGCGCCAGCGATGTTCTCGGAGAGGCGTCCCAGCCTGTGGCACTTCGTCGTGTACCACGCGAACCTCATCTCCTCGTCGTCTGGTGGTGCGGACCAGCTCGCATGTTCCATCGCGACGGCGAAGGAGACTGGCGTGATGCTGTCCAGGACTGCCTTTTGCTGAGGGCTGTACTGGAAGCTGCCGATGTAGGCTGAGGCTGGAGTGTCGAGCTGGTCCCTTCTTTTGCGCCTGCTGCTTCTCCTTCTGGCTGAGGCGCTCCTCCATGGCGCACTGTGCTTCCAGTGCTGGTCGCTGTCGCTTCGCTGCTGGTGCTGTGGGTGCTTTTGCTGGTGCTGGTGTTGGGCTGGCTGGTGGTGGTGCTTGTGGGTCTGAGGCTGTTGCTGCTGCTGCTGCTGACTGTGCTGCCTCTTCTGAGAGTTGTGCTGATGGCCATCCCCGAGGGCCCACTCCCAGGGCCGCCCTCCGATGGCTCCGTAGTCGCCAGTCCAGCCATTGGCACTGCTGCTGCGTCTGCGCTGGCGCTGCGCCTGGGCTGTGGACCCTGCTCCTGTCCACCTTTTCCCAGGGCCGCGCCGCGACGCCTCGAGGTGTGTGGTCCCTGCTCCTGACCACCTTTCCCTCGAGGCGTCGCGCTGCTGCTTCCAGTTCTGCTCCATGGCGTGCTGCTGGTGGCGCTGGGGCTGCTGCGCACTGTGGTGCTGCTCCAACCTGCTGGCAGCAGCCGCCAATCTTATCAGCAGCCTGTCTTGTCCTCTTTGGGTCCTGGCGCGGCGGTGCCAGGCTTCTTCTTTGATCCTGGGCGTGGCGGTCGGGGTGACCGCCGCGGCTGCGGCGCCTCTTTGTCTTCTCTTTGATGGCTCCGCGGCGCGCGAGCCACGACCGACGGGGCGACCGACGACGAACGATGCCGCGACGGTCCCAGCCCCTCCTCGGCCGTATGGCTTCCTCCTCCTCCTCCTCCTCCTCCTCCTCCTCCTCCTCCTCCTCCTCCTCCTCCTCCCTCCTCCTTTCGCCTCCTCTTATTCCTTCTCATCCTCGTCCTCCTCCTCATCCGCAGAAGTCTCCCAGAGGCCCCGATTAGTTACACTGAGAGATCACGGCCCGACCCCTGGACCACGTCTGTCTGCGACACGACCTCATGGCCCGAATCATGGGCGAACGCGTCTTGAGTGAGAGACATCAACATGCAACGCCCGCATCTCAGGGCCCGCCCGACCCAGACCTTTCTATCGTGCCGTCTGTTTCTCGAACCTGGAGGTCTGACCCCATTCCCCAGGACCGGCTTGCTGTATGCTCGTCGGCCCAAGGGCCTGGCAAGGGGCCCCAGATGCCGCACGGAAATTTGAAGACTGGTGTACGAACGCGTTCAGGACAGAGAGAGAAGGGTATATGTATAAATAGAACGCGAAATTGGTGCGTATATATATATATGTATTTATATATATAAAGAGAGAGAGAGAGAGAGAGAGAGAGAGAGAGAGAGAGAGAGAAAGAGAGAGAGAGAGAGCGAGAGAGAGCGAACCGAAAAGATGACACGCTAACGAAACAGTTCGATGTTGGACCAGACGCAAGGGGGTCTGGCTCGAGGCCCCTGCGGCAGCGCCGCCGCGGGGTCCCGGGGATCCACGGTCCCCTCGGGGGGGAAAAGCCAACAGAGTCAGCCCATGGGCCTGTCTGGGGGTGCGCTCCGACCTGAAAATTGCTGCGACTCGCCTGAAGATGGCGGGGAACATCCGTAGACCTCGAACCTCGAGCTTCCTCCTCCTCCTCCTCCTCCTCCTCGTCGACCTCCTCCTCTTTCTCCTCCTCCGCTTACCTCGATTCTCGAACCTCGAGCTTCCTCCTCCTCCTCCTCTTCATCCTCCTCCCCCTCCTCTTCCTCCTTCTCTTCCTCCTCCTCCTCCACCACCTTGCCGATCCCGAAGTTAATTTGTTCCACCAGTGGACTGCAAAGATCTGGACCACATTCCCGGGGCCAGTTTTTCGTTCCAGACAATTTGTTGATAGCTCCCACGCCCAAAAGCGTCCTCCTGAGTCCGAAATCGAGAGAGCACGCCAGGATGCAACACAATCACGACGTCTGAGGTATGGGTAGGCATTTGTCGTCCACCTCCCCATCAATGTATGCTGAAACACTGCAGCGTCGCAAAAATTGCGACCAGACCCCCTGACCTCATCCGTGTGCGTCATTTTTTGAGCTGGACCGATTTGGGACGGTCCGGGGGCCCGAAATGGAGCGAACACACCTGGCTCGAAAAAGTCGGTCGCAGGGATACCAGGGTAGGTCCGACCGTACCCGTCATCTTAAACTCAAGCAGTGGCGAAGCGTCCTGGCTTGGCGATCGGCCCAGCCCGTGGTCTGCACGAAATGTTCCCGGAACACTTCTGGCTGAGGCTGTCTTGTTTTAACACATCGGGTTCATGTTCTCAGAACCTTGCTTTTGTTCTTAGAGCAGTTTGGGTGGTTCTAAGAACATGTCGTGGTAGGCCTACAGGAACGCCGGGGCGGTCGGTCCCTGCTCAAGAAAGGGACCACTTGCATTCGGGCCCTTTTCTTCACCCCCCCCCATGTAGGCCCCCCCCCGTTGCCGCCCGCCCGAGCGGAGCTGGGCGCAGGGGCGACAGTCTTGTGCCCAGCGGGTGCGAACACGGGTCCTTGGGCCCCGCCCTGCATGCGGTCAGCGGGGCGGGAGACGGGAGCGCGGCGCGGAGGCGGACGAGTGTGCTGGCGGCCCAAGCCCAACACAACCAGCATGACCATGTAGCGCGGGACGGCAGTCTACAAGTCCACGTCCATTGTGCACAAGAGATGCTGGTTTTTTTGGATGCATATTCGTGCCTACATGCAGTCAGCGGCGCGGCGAGGCCCTCTGGAGGCTTCTTTGCGGCCCTCCCGCGCTTAAGCGCGCTCGCGCCGCCGGCCAGCATGTTGCCGAGTGGTGGCCCCCCGCACGAGGCGGACGCTGCGGCCGCCTCCAGGGACTCCAGAGGAGGAGGAGGAGGAGGAGGAGGAGGAGAGGAGGAGGAGGAGGAGGAGACGAGGAGTGACGAGGAGGAGGAGGAGGACGAGGAGGGACTCCAGAGGAGGAGGAGGAGGAGGAGGAGGAGGAGGAGGTACGGAGGAGGAGGAGGAGGAGGAGGAGAGGAGGAGGAGGAGGAGGAGGAGAGAGGAGGAGGGAGGAGGAGGAGGAGGAGGGAGGAGGAGGACGAGGAGAGGAAGGAGGAGGGAGGAGGGAGGAGGAGGAGGAGGAGGAGGAGGAGGGAGGAGGAGGAGGACGGGAGGGGAAGGCCGGAGGAGGAGGAGGAGGAGGCGAAGGAGGAGTCGGGAGGCGGGAGGCGGGAGGCGGCGCGGGAGCCAGCGGGCGCATCCGTCATCCCAAATTGCCCGGAGGCCCCCGCGGCGGGCGGCCGCTGCTGCTCTCCGCCGCGCTGGCGGGGGTGCTGCTCCTCGCCGCCCGCGCGCTCGCGCCGCCCGCCTTCGCGCTGCCCGCCGCCGCGGGCCAGGGCGGCCGCGCGGCGCGGCTCGGCGGGTCGGCCCGGGCAAGGGGCAGGACGAGGAGGACGACGGTGAGGACGACGGCCAGGACGAGCAGGACGAGGAGGACGAGGAGGACGGCGAAGACGACGAGGACGGCGAGGACGAGGAGGACGAGGAGGACGAGGAGGACGGCGAGGACGAGGAGGACGAGGAGGACGAGGAGGACGAGGAGGACGAGGACGACGACGACGACGACGGCGACGACGGCGACGACGACGACGACGGGCCTTGTCCTCGGACGAGGACTAGTCCTCGTCGCCGTCGTCGTCGTCGTCGTCGTCGTCGTCCTCGGCGTCCTCGTCGTCGTCGTCGTCGTCTTCGTGGTCGCTGTCGTTTTCGTCGTCGTCGCCGTCGACGACGACAAGGACGACGATGATGACGACGACAACCAGGACGACGACGATTACGGGCCTTGTCGTCGTCTCTGTCGTCGACGACGACGACCACGACGACGATGACGAGTATGGGCCTTGTCCTCGTCGTCGTCGTCGTCGTCCTTGTCCTCGTCGTCGCCTTTTCCTCGTCCTGCGTTCGAGGTACCGGCTCAGGACGAGCTGCCCAGGGAGGGCGACTCGTCGAATGAGTTCTTCCTCGCGTGAGTCCCCACCCTGTCTTGACGCGGCCTGCCACCAAGCCCCTTGCTGCACCCTCGCGGGGCCCAGGATGGCCCCTGGTCAGGCACGGCGGTGCTTCCCGCGGGCTTCGCGGAGCGCCCGCAGCCGAAGCCGGAGCCGAAGCCAGAGCGCGCAGAAACACGGAGAGGGTCCGCCCTGCAGGAGCATTGGGAGAGCCCGGCCGGGACGCGGCGCCGTTCTTTCTTTCTATCCCCGCGGCCAGTGCCGCCGATCGGCGCCCCCGAAGGAGGTCGGAGGGCACGAGGCCATCGCACCCCCAGGAGTCGGCCACGCGCAGAGGAGGAAGGAAGGGGGAAGGCTTCTCTAGAAGCCCCCTCTGCTTCGTAGCAGGCGTGAGCCTGATCTGTAGAGATGTGAGGCCCGCGCCTTCGAAGCAGCGGCCTCCTTCTGAGAAGCCTTCGCCCCTCCCCCCTTTTCCCCCCACTGGAGCGGCGCCGGAGGAAGGCCACAGCCGCCCTGGGGGGCCCCGTATGGGCTGCCGCGCGCGGGCCCGCCGGGGCAAGGCCCGGAGCCGCGGCGGCCCTCCCGCAGCCGCGCGCGCGCGGCGGAAGGCGGCGGGAGGTCGGCGGAAGCTGGCGGAGGGACAGCGATCAAGCAGTGGCGAAGCGTCCTGGCTCGCCTAAAGCCCCACCAAGCAATGTTCTAAGAACCCTTTTGTGGTTTCCACGAACTGTTCTTAGAACATGTCTGGCGGAGTCTGTCCTGTTTCAGCACACTTTGGGCTTCTGAGAACATGTCGTGGTAGGACTATAGGAATGCCGGGACGGTCGGTCCCTGCTCGAAACGAGGCCGCCTCCGCCAGCGAAGGCCGGCGGAGGGCTCGCGGAAGCCGGCGGACGCAGAGGAGGCGCCCCCCAGAGATGGCAGCATGTTCGGGCACAGGACGTCCGAGGGGCAGAGGAGGTCGGAGGGCGGAGGAGGAAGAGCAGGGGGGAGCCTCGACAGAGCGATCGGGATACAGCGCCGAAACAATTCTCAGCCAGAGGAATGCGGTTCTAATGCCAGAGCTGCGAGATCGTAGCTCGTGGTGCAGTTAGATCAGCAAGAGGTGCAACTGCGACCTGCTGAGCCCAGACCCCCGACGTCATGATTTGCTCATGGCGTCGACCCCCACAGGTCTCGACCCATTCCCCATGACCGGTTTTTCATCCAGAATCGTTTTTGTTACCATCCCGAGGCCTGGTCGTGGCTCCCAGAGGCCGAAAATAGCGAAACATTTCCCGTCGTGAATTTTTCATGGTTCGAGAGGGAGGCAGGGAGTGCGGAGTCAACCAGGGGAGCTCCGAGGCCCCTTCGTGGACGGGGCCAGGACGAGTATCAATCCGTTCCAGGGCGTTCCGGAATGCTCTCAGAGCGTCCCGGAGCGTTCTAAGAAGGCCGCGGCGCCCGAGACACCCTCCAGAGCCGCCGGATCTCAGAGATCCTCGATTTCTCCTCACCCGATTTAATCCTCGACGTGGCTTCGTCTTACCTCGGCCACGCGCAGAGGGGGGTCGGGGGAGGGGGAAGGCTTCTTAGAAGCACCCCTGCTTCTCAGAAGGCGCGGGCATTGTCTGTAGGTGTAGGGCCGGCGCCTTCTAAGCGGCAGCCTTCTTCCCTGAGATCCGACGTTGCAACAAAAAACAGCATAGCAACACATCACGACCCGACCCGCTGACCCCATCTTTCTGCGTCGTTTTTCGAGCTGGATCGATCTGCGAGGGTCTGGGGGCGCCACGTGGAGCGAAAACGCCCAGCTCGAAAATATTTCTATTCGCCGGGATCTCAGGGTACCCCTCCCCGCGCGGCGCACCATCTTCTTCGTCGTACTCTGTGTCCCTCGAGAGTTTTGGCGGTACCTGTAGTCCGGGGTGGGTACCTGTAGTCCGCGGGAGGGGTATACTCGTAGTCCGGGGGAGGGGGGGATATACCTGTAGTCCGGGGGGGGAGCTGTAGTCCAGGTGGGGGGGTACCTGTAGTCCAGGGGGGGGGGGGTACCTGTAGACCGGGGGGGGGCTGTAGTCCAGGGGGGGGGGGCCTGTAGTCCAGGGGGGGGGGGGGGGGGGGGGTAGCTGTAGACCCGGGGGGGGGGTACCTGTAGAGTCCGGGGGGAGTACCTGTATAGTCCGGGGAAGGCCCGTACCGTCCGGGGGGGGGCACCAGCAGCCCGGGGACGGCCCGAAGCTATCGAGGGGGACACAGAGAGAGCATGCCCCTCCCGCCGGGCCCCGAGGTCGGAGACCAGGGCCCCAGCGCTGGCCGACGCGGCGGCCCCTGCGCAGCCGGGCCCCCGCCCTAGCGCGGCGCGGCTGCGGGCTGCCGGGCGAGCGGAGGAGGAGGAGGAGGAGGAGGAGGAGGAGGAGGAGGAGGAGGAGGAGGAGGAGGAAAGAAGAGGAGGAGGAAGGAAGGAGGAGGAGGAGGAGGAGGAGGAGGAGGAGGAGGAGGAGGAGGAGGAGGAGGCCGCGCGCGGCGCCCCCGCGCGCCGTGCCCCCCCTTGCGACGCGGTCGTACTGCTGCAGGGCATTTTTTTTTTTCAATGCGCAGTCCCAGAGGTTCTTGCCCTCTGCCCCAAGCCTCCTCGAGTCATGACAAAAATCGCGACGGGAGGTTTTTCAATATTTTCGGCCTTTTTGGGCCCTCACTGGGCCTCGGGGCCGTCAAAAACGACGCAGGATGAAAAGCCGGTCCTGGGGAATGGGTCCAGACTTCTGGGGGTCGACGTAATGAAAAAATCATGACGTCGGGGGTCTGGGGAGGTCCTTACCCTTGACTGGCGGCCACTTCTCCATCCCAAATAAGCTTCCCGAGCATTTTCTTTGGGTGGAGGGCACAGGGTGAAATCTGAAATGCTGTTTCGATGGATTTTCGAGGCTTGAATCTGCAAAAGGCGAATCACAAGACGGATTGATCTTCGAGGTGCAAAACCCATGTCGATTTCACCCTGAAAAGGCGAATCACAAGACGGATTGATCTTCGAGGTGCCAAGCCCATGTCGATTTCACTTTGAGAAAATGCCCAGGCTTCTCATGGCCCTGGGGACCGAGGGCGGGCCCCAGAGGCCGACCCGAGAGGAGAGCGCCCCGATGTGAACAGCCCACATCGTCGGAGGTCAGGGCCTCGGATCCCCCCGGTCTCGCAGTCCTGGAGGTTGACGCCAGCACCAGCATCGGCGGCGTGCCTCCACCGAGGGAAGAGGATCCCGATCTCGGCGATGGTGGTCATGATAGCTCTGGCTTCCGCGGTGGCCGAACTATACTGCCACCAACACCGACATCTGGGATCATCTTCCCCATGTGGAGGCAGCCCCCCTGTGTTGGTCTTGGTGCCCATTTCTGAGCCTCCAATCCTAGGCGTTGTTTTGCCGGTCGGCGCGGGCCCTCGCACCCGCCCTCCCCTGGAATATGTGTCTACAGGGGGGAAATTCAGAAATAGTCAAAAAAGGTAGTCTGGGGACGATCTGTTTTTTGAACATCTGTTGGCCATTCTGGGGTGTTCTTGGACAGGAGGGCACGCCCGACCCAAGAGTAGATCTTGGCTGTTTTTTGGCGCCTCTTCGCCACCGGGTTCCTGTACAAGGCGTTCCTTTGCATGCACATCGTCTTCGGCACCGCCTGATTCCAGGGCTTTGCCCTCTCTTGGCCTTGACGTGAGGCCCCTCCTTCTGCCTTCCCCCCTCTGTCAATGAAAGCTGTGCGCGGCCCGCTTAGCTTCGACCGGAAGAGGTGCGCTCTCGACCCGCGGATCAAAAAACAGTGTTTGTGGCGCCTGCTTCAGGCAGGCGGGGCCTCCCCCGTGGCCCCTCGGGGCTCCACCGTCGCAGAACGCCGAGGCCCCGACGGGCGCGGCGGCGCCCCGGAGGGCTCCGCGGCCGGGCGGGCCGCCTGGGCCGCGGCGGCGCTCGCGCTGTGCCTCGGGCTCCTGGCGCCAGCGGGGCCGGCCCAGGACGGCCCGCCCCCGTCGGGCGCCTCGTGCTCCTCCTCCTCCTCCTCCTCCTCCTCCTCCTCCTCTGTGTGTGAATCCCCCTACTTTCCTCCTATCTTGCTCATATCCATCGCCCCTTTCGGCTCGGATGCAGGTTCTCGTACTCAGAGGGTGAGGTGGACAACTTCCATCATCCTCATCACGTCTACCTACGGACACTTTGGGGGTGGGTTCGGTCCTTCGGTCCCCCTCCCCCTCACACAGGTTATCAGCCTTCTCTGTTCAAAACGCAATCGCTCCAACTTCCGCGCTTCCTGAGCCCCCCACTCAGTCGCGATGGAGGGCGGTGCGCCTCTCGGCCCCGCGCCTCTTCGCGACGGCGTGGCGGACCCCGTGGCGCGCAACTTGGAGCAGGAGATTGAAGTTTTGATGGACGTGCATGGCATCCCGCGAGCTGATCGTGTGGCCATTTCTCCAGGTACTGAGGGTCTTGACGCTGGACAAGGACACGCTCCTGGTACTCCTCAGTTCCAGGCCCCTTCCTCGTCGTCAGTCGTTCATCCCGTCGCGTCGCCCGTCGTGTCGGATGCAGCGGGAGACCGCAGCTCGGGTGCTGCGCAGCATCTCTTTCAGAGCGCTGAGGTCCTCGTGCCACGGAATGATCCGCCCAGAAATGCTGTCAGAGCGAGACACCCTGTGGCTCCTGGAGTTCCTCAGCTCCAGACTCCTCAACCTCCTCAAAATCTGACCCCGACTTTTCGGGCCCCTGCTGGGGGGGCCCACTCGGAGGCTCTTTCGCCTCCACAGGGAAGTCCCGTGCAGAGAGGCTCTGGAGGATCTCGCCGCTGGGGCGGGAGTCACGCGAACGCCGGCGCGCCAGGACGGAACCCAGTCACCCGTGCCGTGACGCCAGTCCGAGAGCACGTCCGCGCCCTCGAGTTTCGTGCTCAGACCCGCGACGGCGCAGCCTTCGCCGGTCGTCAAGTCACTGTTTCTCGTTCTCGCGCAGCTTCGCCTCGTGACAGACGTGGCCCCGAACAGTTCCAGATTGCAGCCCAGGATTTGCACAGCCGCAGTCCCTCCCAGAGGGCACGAAGACGCGCTGTCAGCTCACCTGTGGCTGCGCCTGCCGCCGTCCCCCTAACAGATATGGCTGAGCTAAGAGACCAGGTACAGACGTATGTGGAGCATCAGACTGCTCTCGTGCACCGGGCAACCGCCACTGAGACTGCGATCTTGCGATCGGATCTCGCTAAAGGTTTGCAGGAAGTCGACGCTAGGTTGTACGAGGATCGTCACGTCATGTGTCAACTCGTTTCGAAGGTCGATGCTGTTGCCGCTCAACGTGGCCAAGACCACTCCGAGCTTGCCGCTGTGCACTCCGAGTTCTCTCATTTGGAAGCACGTTTTATCCATATGCGTGACCACAATGATACTCGCGCCAAATTTCTCCACGATGAACTCCAAGCAGTTGCCGCCGCCAGCGCCGGCGCGGCTCCCTCAGCTCTCCAGGGCCAGATTATTGAGCTTCGTGACGCCACGATGTCCGCTACATCTGATCTTCGTGCTGAGACCCAACAAATCCAACAAGATCTCTACGGCAAACTCTGTCAAGCCGAAAATGCTGTCAACCAGCGTTTCTCTGATTCCCAAGTTGATTCGATCCCAAAGCTCACCGCCAGAGTCCTGACTCTCGAAGAGGCCGTGACTGAGCTGCGCGTTGTAAGGGCCCAGACTGGCCAGCTGGTGCCCCCTTCTTCGGTTGACGACCCCGCCGTACTGGCAGCCGTACAACGGACCGTGCGTGCGGAGGCGGACCACGTGCAAAGGCAGTTACACGAGCTTCGCTCTGAGAGGGATGCTGGAAAGGCACGGGTATCTGAAGTGCAGACCCGCCTGGCGGATACGCAGCAGGAGCTGTCGCGCGTAAAGGCCGACATGGATCAGCTACGTTCTCTTCTTACAGACCTTTCCCAGTCTACTCAACGACAGTATTCCGTGCTTACAGACAAGACCCGCGAGGTCCAGAGGAATGTTGATGGTTTCTCAGGCTGCATCGAACAGTTGCAACGTGACAACATCATTCTCGAAGACCAATTCAAGGCCCACGTAGCTGATGCTACACAGCACACACCTGTACCACCACAAGCCCCGACCTCCAGACGCACTTCTCCCGGCGCCCCTGCCTCGAACGCGGGGGGTGTGCAGGGGGGAACCCCAGCCGCTGGCTACCAGCCACAGGCCCGACGTGTGTCACCGTCAGCTGCCAGCAGGACCGCGGCCCCGGCCGCTTCCGCAGCACCTGCACAGGAGGCAAACTTCGACGCTGCAAGCTTTCGCACGCACTCACCAGTGCCCAACGTCCTTGGTGCTACTGTCATGCAGTCTCAATACACCATCGGAGGGAGCCCTGTTGCTACCATCACACCGGTGAAGGAGAGCGAGCGTGTGCGTGTTCCAGGTCTTCCCAGAATCGGACATGTTCTTGAGTGGCAGCACGCAGTCCGCAAGGCCTTCTGCAGTGCCTCTGGGCGTCCAGATGCTGCATACAAGTTCTTCTGTGTTGCAGAACAGCCCGGTGTGACACTGGATGATCTACAGGACAGCGGTGATTTCGCAAGTTTGGATCTGAAGTTCGCGGAAGCTTTACAAGCGATTCTCAGCAGCGAATTGAAACTGGATATCAAATTGCTGGAGAACACAGAGCACAAGCACGGTCGCATGATAAAGGGACGTCAGATCTACTGGAAGATTTTGCGTTATTACGATGTGACCGACGCCGACGATACGATTCATGATTTCGAAAGGATCAACACTCTACGTATGCATGGAGATGACCTCAAAAGGTTCGTGACGGAGTGGGACCAACTGCTCCTGGAGCTCCGGGAGCTTCCTCCGCCGAACATTATGGAGTCACTGTTTCGTACACAGATTGAGTTGCATCCTTGGATGAAGGACGACATGAACACGTACAACAAAGCTCCTAAAGGGGCACCAGAGCGCTGTTACACTTGGCTCCACCACCGAGTCACAGCTGTTCTTGAGCTACACCGAACGCGGCGCAACCAGTACCACCTGAGGACAGGCAACAGGGACACCGCAGCCATCGTCTCTCCGAAGACTGGCTTCTGCGTGCCCTTCAGCAAGGGCAAATGCCCCAAGGGAAACGCGTGCAAGCTCCTGCACATGGTGGACTCCCGCAGCCGCCCTGACACTGGCGCCCCTCACAGCGAGAACACTCGCCAGCCCCAGCGTTCCGCCCAGCCACCCGGCTCGCAGCAGCCTCACGGCGGCGCCGCGCGTTTTTGCCACAGATTCGCCAAAACTGGTGCCTGTTCGTACGGCGACCGCTGCCGCTACCCCCACGTGCCCGCCTGCAGCTACTTCCAGGCAGGCCACTGCGCCAAGGGCGACGCGTGCACCTACGCACACCTGGCAGCCAATGCTGCGACTCCGCCACAGAGCACCAGCCGCCCGCGGAGTCAGGACAGCCGTGGCCGCCCCCCCTCGCGTGGACCGAAATCTGGTCGAAACCACCGTTCGTCCAGGAGTCCGGGGGGATCTCAGCAGCCTCCTCGTGACGCCTCCCAATCTCAGACCTGGGATAACCGGCGATCTCGGCCCGCTCCCAACCAAGACGGGTATGAGAGTCAGGAAGGCACGCTCCACGACGACTCCCAGCGCGGACGTCGACCTTCTCGCGACTCAGACCGTACCAGCCAGCGGAGCAGCACGAGCACGAGGGCCCGGTCACCTGCCGCTCCCTGGAACCGAGTGTACATCATACGCTCCAAACACGGCGCCCTGACTGGCACCCGCGCCGGCTCCCAGGCCGGCCCCGAGCGTAACCCCCAGCCCGGCTCGCCGCCCGGCGCCCTGACCGGCGCCTTTGCCGGCTCCCAGGCCGGCTCCCAGCCCGGTTCCCCACCTGGCGCACTGCTGCCTGGCGGCGCCCCCCCCGGCTCCGAGCACGGCTCCCAGACCAGCTCCGAGCCCGGCGCCCTGACCGGCACCCGCGCCGGCTGCCAGGCCGGCTCCGAGCACGGCCCCCAGACCAGCTCCGAGCCCGGCGCCCTGACCGGCGCCTTTGCCGGCTCCCAGTCCCGCTCCGAGTCCGGTCCCCAACCCGGCTGTTCTGAGCGCAGCACCTTTCTCGGCTCCGAGCCCGGCTCCCAATCCGGCGCCGAGCCTGGCGCCCTGCCTGGTGCCTCGCCAGGCCCCCAGTTCGGACACAGCACGCGAGCGTCCAACAGTCCGGGGGGCACGCGCTGTTACGACTCCTGTCGACTACGGCGCTCCCCCTCCCGCGACCGACGCCGCAGCAGCCAAAGCAATGATCACGACCCGAGCCCTTGTGATCGGCCTCCCGGCTGTCTTCGACCTCAAGTTGACGTCTGTCGTCCACGATCCTTCGCTCTCGCTGTAGTCCCTGGCAGGAAGACTCAGACGCCGAAAGGCTTGCAATGGAACTTTGCAGCCACAGAGATTCACTACTTCCCTGTTCAGACCAAAATGCGTCGACACCGTACTTCCCCTAACCAGGGATATGTGGTCCACGTTCCTGATGTTCTTCCGGACCACTGGCTGCAGACCTCCGCGGATGCGCTCCAGGAGGCAATCGAGAACGCCATCCGTTTGACCGAGCGCCTGGACGACGACCTCGACACCTGCATGCCACTTGTCCCAGCCGGGGCAGTGCAGCAGGGAATTGCAGCAGGGCTAGTGCAGCAGGGAACTGCAGCAGGGCTAGTGCAGCAGGGAACTGCAGCAGGGACCATGCAGCAGGAAACTGCAGCAAAGTCCCCCGCGGTTCTCGCACGGTCTTGGGTCTTGGATAGTGGTTCTGCGCACCACATCACGGACAAGGACGATTTGACTCAAGCTGAAACATGTGGTATTCGTCGTGGACATGAATACGTATTGGAAACAGCAAACGGCGATCGAGTTGTTAATGAGCACATCAATATTTCTGTGCCTTCCATTAACTTGCACACAGGTTCTTTGGCTCTCAAAGGTTGTCC